CATTTCTCTACCTTCCGAATATGTGTTCGACGAAATTTTTCGTTTTATGTCAGGATCATATAGTTTGGTAGATAACTCTAAGTTGAAATCCTGTTTGTGACCCAGTGGACTCTAATCATGTCGCTTTGTGCACACGGAGGGCTTTCCTAACCAGTGGTCGTTTTGGCATCATATGAGCCTAATGAATGCACCCATCTACCGGAGTCCATTAACCCCGCATCGCCTGGTGTTGCGTGAAATGCGTGCTGCTACTTTACACGTCCATGGATTAGGCTGTGTTCCAATGTACCATGTTGTTTGGTGTCCTTATCTGGTTGCGCTCTAGATAATGTCTCAATCTCAATGTAATGTGCGCAATGTTTGTTTGCACGCCACACCATCGCACAATTATCCGACACTAGGAGTATCATCCTCCAAGGGTTATTCACTGGATAATATCGACCCAGAATCTTAATATCCCAGTGGTCGGTTGAAACCATATAACACCAAATGCTCCATCTGAATCGTGTTTAGCTTGCACCAGCTGATCAATGCCAGAAACGCCGCGAATTTCGATTGTTTTCGTTTACGAAGGCACTACAAAGGCGTCGTGTGTGCTGTGGTGTCTGGATAGGAGTAAAGTGGTAATGGTGGGAACCTGCAAACACCCTAACCCACCTATAGTCCACGTTATCATCTCAAACCACAGGGGTGTTAACTCTAACAGCCTGTTAGTGAACTTTCGTAAAGAAATGTTCTGCATTGTTTTGGAGTTTTGAACTTCATCTGATCTTTTTGTATCATTGCGGTATCAAACAAGTTTCGGGAAAACCAGCTACCCAGATTGTTTACTCTTCCATATATGACTGCTAAACATCACCTTATCTATTGTTTGGTTAAATAGGTTCGCCAAAAATTTCGATTAACTAGGTTAACCACATTCTCCTCATATTGCCCGCCATCTCCGCCACATGACAACCTCAAGTTAGGGCATTCAGTGTCATGTCCTAGCTTCTGTCTTTAATCTAAGTGCGCTTCCGTGTACTTCTTCGTTTTTTAGCGTTCAAGGAAAGATATTTAATATTTTCATGTTGCTTACATTCTAGAGTACTCTTATACGCCGTTCTGTAGAACTCACCATGTGAAGTTAGCTTTGTTTCCGTCGGTGAGGACATACGATTACATCCCTTTTGCTCTTAATTTAGCTGTCCACTGACAGTATAACCTGAATAAAAAACTAGTGTCGTCTTAACCACAGGAGTTTTATTTATGCAGTGTATATAAAAGCGAGCGTGGAAAATAGAAAGAAATCGTGGAAGGTTAACGCTGAAAATGGACCTCAAAAAAGCCAGTGGATGTGGAAGGCAATATTTTATTGAAACCGCTTTTAGGGACTTGGCGAAACCAGGGGGTTTGTTCATGACTAATATGGGAGGTATTATTCACACTGGGTTTACATACTGTATTTTGATACACAACCGACTAGGTAGTTGGGTAGGACTGAATGGTTGCATATACAAGCCATTCAACTGAGTAAATGTAGAAAGGTCTTTTAACCTAGTCGAATGATGTGCTTGTGAGGTCTCTGTATTGGAATCACGGGTTGTGGTGTGAGGTAGTATCCATTTGATCATTGTCTAAGCCTACATCGTATGGAGCACTCTAGGATGTGTCTTGCATCCAGCCTAACGGTTTGCCTCAGTGTCTAACGCAGTGAAAGTGCCATCATATGGGAGCTCCATTGCCTTCATAGCTAAGTACAGATTAAAAACAGCATAAGTGGAAACAGAGAGTTAACCTGTAGACAACACTTTCAAGCTCCGGATGGTGACCCGCAGAGCAAGCTCTCTTACATTCCATGGGAACTTGGTACAAATTACCCACATGGGGTCACTGAACTTATCGCATCTCCAGTAGTACGAGCTGGAGAAAAGACTTTAGAGTTCACGTTACCATTGAACGACTGCCTAACACGAGGCTGCGCCTATATTAGAATATTTCAGCACTCGAGTACTCCCGTATTCGACTGTATCTAATCCGGTGTAAAATAATTCATACATCACCTGCTGTCTACCTCAGCGTATCATTCCCTAGGCACACAAATTTTCACACAACTTCGGGGTTTAGGTGGCCTCACAGGTTTTCGTCTATGCGGCGGCAATCATAATAATATTTTAGTAGAGCTAAGTTGACAGCAAGCACAACAGTTGGCGAAACCCACCAAAATACGAAACTGTCATTTTGATGAGTAAGTCTAGCGTGACTCATACTTCTACGCATGTTGAGACAAGCGGACAATTTAAAGACTGTTTGCCGTCAACACTGTCTTGCAAGAGCACAACTCATGAATAAATTAGTGGACGTCAGCTCAATAGACTTATAAAAGATATGCAGCTCGGTAACTGATTGATCTGAATACCATGAAGCACGAAAAGGGTGTTATACTCGAAACTGAAAAAGAACAAAAATGTATACACAATTCAGTCGCTGGGAATTTCAGGAGAACAAAATCAATCCACGTATACGTCCAAGCTAAATAAATCGTTAACATCAGTTCAGGGGTGCGTGCGGGAAACAAAGTTATTGATCGAACAAACCAGGCAGCATAGAAGACAGACGGGCAAATTATGTCCCACGTCTAGTCAAGATATACCATGCTGGACTGCAACCTGGATGCAGAAACAAAAATATCATTCAATACCGAAAAATCAGTATGGATGTCCTTCACTACATTAAGCCGATTTCGCTCTCTTCAAGATTCATGTCATATTTATTTATTTACTTGATGTAGTCACGATCATAGGCGCGCTATTCATAGAAAGTTCTGACTTTTTCAACGTGGGAAATGCTACTCTTTCATCTTCACAAAGTTCAAACGATGCTTTAAAAATAACAACAATAACAAAATAACAGATAATAGGCAATTATCTTTGTTGGGGAATCGAATCGTCCAATGTTATGCAATCGTGCTCAGGGCTATAACGTTTTTCTAGTCACCGAACTACTGGAATGATTTTACTGATTCAGTGCGAAGGAGGGCCTCAAAAGCAAGCCCCAAAACGATGTAATGTAGTTTAATGTTAATGCGCAATGTACTGTTACGGATAAGTCGATTTATGGATGCTCCAAATAAAACAAGCATCTTCAAAGAGTAACATTGGTGCTGACAAAAACTGTGCAGTATATCACAGTTAGTAGTAGTAGCAAAAGAATGGATCAATTGCATTAATGAGTGGCATAATAACGGACTTTGTCGTTGTGCAGATTTCGTCCTGTGAAAAGCCGAGAGACACTGTACAGCTGTTCCATCCTTATTTGGGATCATCAGCAGTGCACAACCCACGAAACTCCGGAGTGTCTCGAACCCGCGACCTCCTGGCTAGCAGTGTGAACGCTTAACCGTTCGGCCAAGTGCGGCTGGTCAGCAGCGTGATTAGCTCCGTTCAGTGCGGACACAAGTGTGATCACCAGCAGTCACTCTTCCGGGGACTTCACACAGAAAGAATCACTTTTCCAATGATCCCTAGATCCTGTTGTTTACCCAAGAGCAACATCTCATCAGAGGAATTAATTTTTTAAGCTTCAGATACTCTTCGAGTTCCGAGCTGGGAGAGAATCAACTTTCCAAAAGTGTGAGGATAGTTTTGAAGTACCTCTCACCTGGATAAACGACTCATCAAGCAACTAACAAACTTACATTATGGGTTGCTTAAGGGAGATTCAAACACCGCTTTAATTAATAGGACGCTAGGACTTCAGCTGATCTAAGAAGCTGCTAATTTCGTTAAAGTTTTAGTTTGCGGTCATCTGTAAAACGACGTTCCTTTTTTCTAGAGAGCACATCTGAATGGGGTTCGAAGCCAATGAGTCTAGCCTTCATCAGTGACTCGGAATCGTCAGAGGTGAGATTCAGTCAGGATGGATGGTGAGAAATTACCCGACCGGGGCTCAGTTTTGACACTGTTCGTCTTTGTGGGCGGAACGCAAGACGTCTGACCTAATGAGGATGTTTTAGACTGATGATGACTTAGATGGAGTCGATGGTGGACTGAACACTGATTGGAGGTTCAAACAATTAGGTAGTTGAAATGTTTTTAGCCGAGTTTAAGCTATGATTGTGGAGATGAATGACATCTTTAATCAATACAAAACGAATGTCCCCAGAAGAATGTTAGACATGCGTATAGTGCGCATTTAAACTATACGAGATTTGTGCTACAGATGCCATTTTAATGAAAGGTGCTATCATTTCTGGTCGCAACTGAGGGGATGAAATGCTGCTTGTCAATTGCAAACTAACTTATTTGTGGAAAGCAAAAAGTATGACTTGCTTTATCAACGTGTTAAGTAATATGAACAAACTCTATTCAGATACAAGCCTGCTATGTTTCCATAAAATCGATCTCTTTACTTAAATGAGCCATTTCATATAATTCTTTAGCCAAATTTGCCATTATTTTCTTTTCGTTCTTTTCGAGCCCTCCGCTAATGCGAACTGGTTATCTGAAGTAAGCCTCGGGAATAATGCGACTGTCCTATGCTCATCATATATCAGTCGTTTGGAGTATAAACTTCTTTTCATTTTTTTTCGGACGAAGGTATAGCCCAGCGAATAAACGCAACAAACAAAAATGGCCTAAATGGTTTCAAGTGTCCGTGATATTACTCGACTTGGAGTTTGTGACAGGGAGCTAAATCGATCGACACACCCTGAACAGACATTAGGCCTTCAATCGGGGCATTTGACGTGGGCAGACAATTCGCTCAACTGTAAGCAACTTGAACTAGTGGAAGTTACAGTTTGGCTACATCCATCATGAGGTGGTGGAATAGTAGTAACACACTTGCTTCATACGTCAGACTTTCTGCGTTGGAGACCCGGGATAGTCAAGTATATGCAAACATGAGTTCTAATAAGTGGAACTCGTTTGCGCGGTATTTAGCCCAAAGGGCAGGTTTTGTGGGTGATTAATTGGAACCATAAAGCGAAACATGCATGAGAAAGGAATGGTGGCCCCAATACGGGGGCAGTTTAATCAGCTGTTATTTCCTGACATCATCTGCTGGTTTGATTATACAAAAACACTATGTTGGAACAGCTCATCGCCGGCAAGTCTAGCAAGAAATCATATTTTCATTGGATTGATTTAACCTGTAGGGAACATAATCCGAACAAAAAGGTGCAAACGTAATATGACCAGGCGAAAATGATGGATAAGGCAAGGGTACACAAGAAGGCGCTGTACCACATATGAAAACGCACTCACACACAAAAGCAAAAGGTATCGATTCGTGTGAGTCAAGTTGACTGTTATTACCAATGAGGGTAAACATGCAAGGTCACTGCACCTACGGAAGACAGAGACGGGTGTGTTTATGTATGCATGCACAGTTAATGGTAAGATTGCGCGAACCAGTAGGTAGGCTTGTTTGACTTTCTGTTACCAGTCCGCCAGTAGCGCTCACATTGAGCACAACAACGGTGCTTCGATGATCAAAGTGGTGCCGCTAAGTTGAGCCGTCACGGAAAAGGGATCAACCGTTTCCGGTACTTCGTAAGATCGGGAAAACTCTTGAGTTGAACGTCCACCGCTGGTACTCTGCTGTTTTCCTGACACAATTATGCGATTCGCGTCCATACGTACACATAAGTTTTCTGCTTTGTATTCAGGATCTACAGGAACCTCAAGATGCAGTTTACGACCGCTGGGACCATCGTTCAAGATGGTTGGTCCAGAAACACCTGGTCAAACGGAATGGATAACATTTGGATGAACACAAGCAGGGAATCCTCCAATGGGGCAAATTAATCAATAGTTAGGAGACCAAATGAGCTGCAGGGATGAACGCAATGATGTGTGCCAAACAGCTCACGGGCGAATTCCAAATTACACCAGGGGTAGCCACTATAACAATGCTGATCGAAATCAGGGAAAACTCTCAACTTAACAGAAAGTGGATACTTCACCTGAAACTATCCAAATGTATCCAAATGTCACATGCGCTTGCAACTACGAAAGGTTTTGCCGCGCTGTCATCCACAAATCATGGTTGTATAAAAAGTTACAAATCTGGAAGTGTTTAACTCTGGAATATTAATTCAGCATTCGAATAGATGTTTAGGTAGATAGATATGGATGTTTTACTTCATCACTTTCTAGTTTACACTCAAATTTTCAACCGAAACTTGAAGGTAGATGTTCACTGAATTTTCGATCAATTTAGAGTTGGTAAGCACAATTCAGGGTGTGCTCAATCTTAACCTATCCACTATAAAATTGCGGGCGCCCCCAAATACCCTTATTTAAATAAAACTTGAGTGTCTGGCAACCGTGCTCCTAAAATGCTGTTAGGCAGAGGAAAAATCCTCTGGCTAATTTGGGGTGTCGCATTGTTGAAATATATCCACTATACTTGCACAAAAATCTGTTTTAAGCACGAACTCGATCTGCATCCAGCTGAAATTATAGTTTGATTCTTGAGATTTTGGAATACGTTGTCTAGATAACACGCCATTCGTGTTGCTGAAGATATACGCAATATTCTGTCCAATTTGCGTTTCGGCAGAACATAAGGCTGGCCGATACTTGGGTTCTTTTCTTACCGAAAGAAGCCTACGAAAGACGAAATTGTGCCATGGGCTGTCATCGTTTTCAACAACCTTACGAGTAGTGTATCACATGTAGACAATAATATGCTTTTTCTTTTTGGGATGAAAATATTTGATTTTTATGTATCCTTGTGCAGCAATCTGCTGTAATATTTCTACTTGTCTAAACTAGTTGCTTGTCGTCCACAGAGTGGGATCGAAGTGCGGCTGGTCAGCAGCGTGATTAGCTCCGTTCAGTGCGGACACAAGTGTGATCACCAGCAGTCACTCTTCCGGGGACTTCACACAGAAAGAATCACTTTTCCAATGATCCCTAGATCCTGTTGTTTACCCAAGAGCAACATCTCATCAGAGGAATTAATTTTTTAAGCTTCAGATACTCTTCGAGTTCCGAGCTGGGAGAGAATCAACTTTCCAAAAGTGTGAGGATAGTTTTGAAGTACCTCTCACCTGGATAAACGACTCATCAAGCAACTAACAAACTTACATTATGGGTTGCTTAAGGGAGATTCAAACACCGCTTTAATTAATAGGACGCTAGGACTTCAGCTGATCTAAGAAGCTGCTAATTTCGTTAAAGTTTTAGTTTGCGGTCATCTGTAAAACGACGTTCCTTTTTTCTAGAGAGCACATCTGAATGGGGTTCGAAGCCAATGAGTCTAGCCTTCATCAGTGACTCGGAATCGTCAGAGGTGAGATTCAGTCAGGATGGATGGTGAGAAATTACCCGACCGGGGCTCAGTTTTGACACTGTTCGTCTTTGTGGGCGGAACGCAAGACGTCTGACCTAATGAGGATGTTTTAGACTGATGATGACTTAGATGGAGTCGATGGTGGACTGAACACTGATTGGAGGTTCAAACAATTAGGTAGTTGAAATGTTTTTAGCCGAGTTTAAGCTATGATTGTGGAGATGAATGACATCTTTAATCAATACAAAACGAATGTCCCCAGAAGAATGTTAGACATGCGTATAGTGCGCATTTAAACTATACGAGATTTGTGCTACAGATGCCATTTTAATGAAAGGTGCTATCATTTCTGGTCGCAACTGAGGGGATGAAATGCTGCTTGTCAATTGCAAACTAACTTATTTGTGGAAAGCAAAAAGTATGACTTGCTTTATCAACGTGTTAAGTAATATGAACAAACTCTATTCAGATACAAGCCTGCTATGTTTCCATAAAATCGATCTCTTTACTTAAATGAGCCATTTCATATAATTCTTTAGCCAAATTTGCCATTATTTTCTTTTCGTTCTTTTCGAGCCCTCCGCTAATGCGAACTGGTTATCTGAAGTAAGCCTCGGGAATAATGCGACTGTCCTATGCTCATCATATATCAGTCGTTTGGAGTATAAACTTCTTTTCATTTTTTTTCGGACGAAGGTATAGCCCAGCGAATAAACGCAACAAACAAAAATGGCCTAAATGGTTTCAAGTGTCCGTGATATTACTCGACTTGGAGTTTGTGACAGGGAGCTAAATCGATCGACACACCCTGAACAGACATTAGGCCTTCAATCGGGGCATTTGACGTGGGCAGACAATTCGCTCAACTGTAAGCAACTTGAACTAGTGGAAGTTACAGTTTGGCTACATCCATCATGAGGTGGTGGAATAGTAGTAACACACTTGCTTCATACGTCAGACTTTCTGCGTTGGAGACCCGGGATAGTCAAGTATATGCAAACATGAGTTCTAATAAGTGGAACTCGTTTGCGCGGTATTTAGCCCAAAGGGCAGGTTTTGTGGGTGATTAATTGGAACCATAAAGCGAAACATGCATGAGAAAGGAATGGTGGCCCCAATACGGGGGCAGTTTAATCAGCTGTTATTTCCTGACATCATCTGCTGGTTTGATTATACAAAAACACTATGTTGGAACAGCTCATCGCCGGCAAGTCTAGCAAGAAATCATATTTTCATTGGATTGATTTAACCTGTAGGGAACATAATCCGAACAAAAAGGTGCAAACGTAATATGACCAGGCGAAAATGATGGATAAGGCAAGGGTACACAAGAAGGCGCTGTACCACATATGAAAACGCACTCACACACAAAAGCAAAAGGTATCGATTCGTGTGAGTCAAGTTGACTGTTATTACCAATGAGGGTAAACATGCAAGGTCACTGCACCTACGGAAGACAGAGACGGGTGTGTTTATGTATGCATGCACAGTTAATGGTAAGATTGCGCGAACCAGTAGGTAGGCTTGTTTGACTTTCTGTTACCAGTCCGCCAGTAGCGCTCACATTGAGCACAACAACGGTGCTTCGATGATCAAAGTGGTGCCGCTAAGTTGAGCCGTCACGGAAAAGGGATCAACCGTTTCCGGTACTTCGTAAGATCGGGAAAACTCTTGAGTTGAACGTCCACCGCTGGTACTCTGCTGTTTTCCTGACACAATTATGCGATTCGCGTCCATACGTACACATAAGTTTTCTGCTTTGTATTCAGGATCTACAGGAACCTCAAGATGCAGTTTACGACCGCTGGGACCATCGTTCAAGATGGTTGGTCCAGAAACACCTGGTCAAACGGAATGGATAACATTTGGATGAACACAAGCAGGGAATCCTCCAATGGGGCAAATTAATCAATAGTTAGGAGACCAAATGAGCTGCAGGGATGAACGCAATGATGTGTGCCAAACAGCTCACGGGCGAATTCCAAATTACACCAGGGGTAGCCACTATAACAATGCTGATCGAAATCAGGGAAAACTCTCAACTTAACAGAAAGTGGATACTTCACCTGAAACTATCCAAATGTATCCAAATGTCACATGCGCTTGCAACTACGAAAGGTTTTGCCGCGCTGTCATCCACAAATCATGGTTGTATAAAAAGTTACAAATCTGGAAGTGTTTAACTCTGGAATATTAATTCAGCATTCGAATAGATGTTTAGGTAGATAGATATGGATGTTTTACTTCATCACTTTCTAGTTTACACTCAAATTTTCAACCGAAACTTGAAGGTAGATGTTCACTGAATTTTCGATCAATTTAGAGTTGGTAAGCACAATTCAGGGTGTGCTCAATCTTAACCTATCCACTATAAAATTGCGGGCGCCCCCAAATACCCTTATTTAAATAAAACTTGAGTGTCTGGCAACCGTGCTCCTAAAATGCTGTTAGGCAGAGGAAAAATCCTCTGGCTAATTTGGGGTGTCGCATTGTTGAAATATATCCACTATACTTGCACAAAAATCTGTTTTAAGCACGAACTCGATCTGCATCCAGCTGAAATTATAGTTTGATTCTTGAGATTTTGGAATACGTTGTCTAGATAACACGCCATTCGTGTTGCTGAAGATATACGCAATATTCTGTCCAATTTGCGTTTCGGCAGAACATAAGGCTGGCCGATACTTGGGTTCTTTTCTTACCGAAAGAAGCCTACGAAAGACGAAATTGTGCCATGGGCTGTCATCGTTTTCAACAACCTTACGAGTAGTGTATCACATGTAGACAATAATATGCTTTTTCTTTTTGGGATGAAAATATTTGATTTTTATGTATCCTTGTGCAGCAATCTGCTGTAATATTTCTACTTGTCTAAACTAGTTGCTTGTCGTCCACAGAGTGGGATCGGAAACCTTGAAAATACTTTATTGTGACTTCGGCTACTTCGAAATCCATCTTTCCTCCCTAGTACATGTCAATAATGTTCTTAAGTCATGTGAATGTCCCACCAGTCAACATCACTGAAAGCCATTTTTACATTCTCGATTCTATAACATTCTCGATTGCATAACAAGAACCCCGTGTTATCGAAGTACTTGTGTGTGTCCTGCGTTTTAAAGATTAAGTAACACCAAACATTAAATAGACATGTCTGACCCACAGATATCTGAGGGGCTGACAGATTTATTGTATAGCTATTTATGAACTTCTACAACTCAGGCCTTGCTTTGTCATCGAGAGTTTGTCAATGGGGACTTTATTTACTTTGGGCCATACTGGAGAGTTTAGGCGGGAATAGAGAACAAATTAGACTAATTTCACTGTGATGCTTATATTCATGCTGGCATCCCCATGAACACGCACTTAGATCTCAAGGATTCGCGGGCCGTCTTTCAACTGACTCAAACAACCTAAGCTTTTGCTCACTTTGGGAGTGCAACT